GAGGTATTCAGTGTTTAATTTTGACAGCAAAATAGCTATTTCATAGTTGTCAAAATGAACAAAATGATTTGATATGATATGGTTTTATGCTTTTCCCCTGTTTCTATGCAATACAGCTTTCTAAGATTTCCATCAGAAATGCCTTTCCTCCAAGCAACATAGAATCCGGAGATTTGACCTCTCTTCTACTATCATCCTAATAGGAGTCAGGGCCCTAACCCTAATATCTTTGTAAATACTAACTTAGACAAGGCCAAACCTTGGCTGGTGTACTCTAGAAGAAAGAGGACAGTTAATAATGTTAGTTAGCAGATAACAGTAACAGCTAGGAGTTAGTTTTCTGTTTTAAGGTCAGTTATAAATAATAGCTGGGAGAATAGTGATGGGTCTTTTTTTTAAAGTAGTTTCTGAAATTAGGCAGAGAAAATTCTCTGAGGAGCTTTGCTCTGGGAAAAACAGAATTGTATACACAATATCCAGCAATTCAATAAGGAATTCATAAAGATTATCTCTCTCTATCCTCTTTTTCTGGTGAACACAACACATCCTCTCTATTCCTTCTAGGTCTTGGAGATTTATTTGGTCTTGAGAAATTACAGCCTCCCTCAATAACTAAATCAGCTGAGGTATCAAGTCCCACCTTGGTGGGTTAGTGACACATTAAAGGGTATATAAATAAGAGGATCTCAGCTCTAAAATTGCTTAAAATATTTTAGATAGGAAGTCATCTAGGATAGGGGGTGAGGTTACTCTTCCTATTGTGAAACCATGCTCCATTCTCATCTCAATGTATTGTTATACTAAACATAGACACGGAATATTCTCATCTTTATCTAGAATAGGGGGTGAGGTTACTCTTCCTATTGTGAAACCATGCTCCATTCTCATCTTAATGTATTGTTAAACTAAACATAGACACGGAATATTCTCATCTTTACCAATTTCTGCATTATGATTTATGAAACGAGAAATCAAAGAGGTAAAAAAAAAAAATGGATTTAAAACAATATTTTCTCTATTGCATATTAGAATCTTAAGATTTTTTTTATTTTTAACTCTAGAGATAGCATATAATTGTTCATGAAAAAAAACGGGTTTTGGCAAATACAAATTCCCATTAGACAAACCTATAATTCATCTTAGAAACTAATAGTTTGGTACCATTACAAAGTCCAGAAGTTTTATCAATATTTCTAAGTAATATTATTGAAATTTTAGTCTTTTAGAAGTTGAAGACTGGAAGTTAATCTTGAAAGTGTGGCTAGTACAACGGTAGTCTTTTGTGTTCTATCTCACTCCAAAGTTACTTAAAACATAAAGTTTACCTTCACGAAATCCTTAAACTTATTTAGGAATACGTTTCTTATAGATGCTTGGATTTGACCTTTCTGTTAGGTTGTTAAGGAAAATAAATTAGTTCAAAAAATTATTATTACCCACTGTGAAATGATGACTAATTCAATAGCAATATAACTACGACATCAAGTAAAACCATCTTAACAGAAACAATATTGTGTTTATCACCATATCTAGTTATACTCCATTTGCGAATTACTTGTGTCTTAATTTTTCATGTGGATTTGAGTAGAGTAATGTCGAAAATCTTGTCCCAATTGGGAGCCATCTTTTCACGATTAAAAGAGTGCCAAAATTATCAATCAAATTAATTTTCAAGCATTAAAACCTTAAGCACACTAGTAATATAAAATATATGAAGTATGAAATAAGATGATAGAATTATTAACTCCTTTGAATATTATTATGATTTTAAAGTAGAATTTGAGCTAATTAGTATAAATAAGCAAATAGAAACAAAATGAGAGATAGAAAAAGTAGAAAGCTCTATGAAAATAGTTGGCAAACATCTTAGATTTATTGAAAAGTGTGAGAAAGATTTGCAGTAATTACCTACCAAATGTAAACACATTTCGTATAAATGTTGATTCTTTAATAACGAACCGTAAAAACTGAGTTCTTAACTAAAAATAATTATAGAAAATATTTTTAAACTTATGGATAAATATTTTTAAAATATAGTAAATATTATTATTCTTATTTAAGATATTCTATTTTTATTTTATTTTATTTTTTATTTTATGTTTGATTATGCACTGTTAGAGTAATTATAGGAAAAAGATTCTTGTAAAATTATGGAAAGATTATAATATTGCAATTAAGTTAAAATATTTAGATATTGTTCTTATGATTTTTTTTTTAATGTTAATCAATATGGGTGCTATTAGTGTGAGTGTGATCATTATTTTATAGTAGAACATTAATATAAATATCAAGTATATTATAATAATAATTTTATATTATTATTCTTGTTTAATATAAAATATAATTTAATATTTAGTTTAAATTATTTTTTGTTATTATAAAGTTTTTAAAAAGAATTATAGAATATACTATAATAATTAGTAAATATTATTATTAGTTTTGCTTGAGATATTGTATTTTGATTTAATTTTAGTCCTGATTTTATCTCTGATTATGCATTGTTAGAGTAATTATAAAAAAAATAAAATTCTTGTATTAAGTTTGATTAGTAAGCACTTAATATAAAATATGATTTAATATTTAGTTTAAATTATTTGTTTTTTCATTTAAATTATTTTATTATATCTCTAATTCGAATTTTTTTTATTATTAGAAAGGTTTTTAAAAAAAACATACTAACTATTATTCTATAATTTCGGTGGACAATTATTTTTGATTTTATTGTCTCTTTAATTCAAAGATTTTATTATTATTAGAAAGTTTTCAAAAAAAAATTATAGGATATAATATAATAATTAATAAATATTATTATTCTTGTTTAAAATATTTTATTTTATAACAATTTTATTTCTAAATATGCACGGTTAGAGTAATTATAGAAAAAAATTCTCTTATCAAGCCTGATTAAGAAACATAAATCATATAAATATGATTTAATATTTAGTTTAAATTATTAATTTATTTTTTAAATTATTTTATTATATATCTAATTTTAAATTCTTTTTTTATCATTAGATAGTTATCAAGAAAAAAATATTAAGTATTATTCTATAATATCATTATTTTATAACAAAATATATAAATATAGTCATCAAAGGAATTATAGAGTATATTATAATAATAGTTTTATATTATTATTCTTGTTTAATATAAAATATAATTTAATATTTAGTTTAAATTAACTTTTTAATGTAAATTATTTTATTGTATCTGTAATTAAAAATTATTTTTATTATTAAAAAAATTTAAAAAAAATACTAAATATTATTCTATAATTTTTTTAGACAATTACTTTAGATTTTATCATATCTCTAATTTGAAGTTTTTTTTTAATTATTAGAAAGTTTTCAAAAATAATTATAAGGTATAATATGATAATTATTAAATACTATTATTAGTCTTCTTTAAGGTAATTTATTTTGATTTAATTTTAGTTCTGATTTTATTTCTGGTTATGCAATTGTAGAAAAAAAATTATTGTGTTAAGTCTTATTAAGAATTATATAATATAAAACATAATTTAATATTTAGGTCAAATTATTTATTTTTTTATTTAAATTAATTATTGTATCTCTAATTTGGAGATTTTTTATTATTATTATAAAGTTTTCAAAAAAAAAATACTAACTATTATTCTACATTTTTGTTGAACAATTATTTTTAATCTTATTATATATCTAAATTAAAAACTTTTTTATTATTAAAAAGTTTTCAATTGGTAATTAGAGGAATTAATGTAATTAAATCAATTTACTCATTTATTACTAATAAAATTAAAAATTAAAAATATTGTAGAATTTATTATTTTTAAAAAACTCTTAAAGGAATCTCCTTTGTGCCACGTGTCCGAAGTGGATTAAGTTTAGTATATTATATAGATATAAAGAGGGAGAGGGTGAGTTAAGATCCGATGACATTAGATGTTTTTATGTTTGTACCATTTAATAATTTTTAATAAAATATGATATTAATCAATTCAACCTTTAGCTTAAAGGTTATTGTTAAGTAGATCAAATTTATACAATTTTATGAAAAAATAAAATTTATTGGGCGCTTCATTACATTATTTTATTTTAATAGAAATTATTTTTTAAATATAAATAAATATAAAATTTTGGATGTACCTATAAATGTTTAAATTTGATATATATGATCAGATGATTCAACTTTGTAATATGAAAAATAAGTATGGTAAGAATTTAAGGTTTTTTTTGGTCAAAAGAAAGAATTTAAGTTTAAAACTTGGTATTAACAAATCTTGACATACATAAATCGTATACGTGGGCCCTAATGCACTCATAAATCATATATATTCATTCCCTAATTAATCTTTGTTTGCTCTCTCTTGACTTTCTATTTAAGTCAATTTTGTGAAATTTGAGACACCCTTGCAGGAAAGCATGTCCAGGGAAGTTCAAACTATAAACCGATTGCTGGAATGTATGATTGAAGTGCTGAAGCATATATAAGAGCCAAGGAATTTCAAGCCCACAAAATTTAGAAGACTTGCTGCATTTCATAAAATAACCCATCATAGTTTAAGGTTGAGTTTGATCTTAGTGGAGAACAACTATGGATTGAGGAAATAAAATTTATGACTGGTCTTAATAATAGTAAATTAACCCTTCATTTTATGTTAGCAGGAGAAGCAGAAAATTAATGAAGGGTAATAAATTTAGAGTTGTTTAAACAAAGTATTTTGAAAAAATATTTCTCTGATGACTTAAGAAGGAGAAGGAGGTAGAATTCTTAGGAGAATACACTGCCAAATTTGATTAACTTTTTAAATATTATCCTTATTTTACTAACAATGTTGATGATAGGTTTTAATGTTCAAAGTTTGAGAGTGAGCTCAGACCTGACATGACATCGAACATGCCATAAGATCTAGAAATAATTCTATTTGTTGCTGTAGTATATAGGTGTAGAAGATATAGGGATGATGCAAAGGCCAGACAAAGTGGAAAAATTCTGGTCTAATATAAGGAAAAGGAGGGAAAATTGAAATAGGAATTGAATCCTAAATGTTTTAGGTGTCGAGTATACACCATAAGAGATTCCAAGGAAACTAAGTACTACAATTGTGGAAGTTTGTTCATCTAAAATATCATTGCCCTGAGCCTAAGAAGAAGCAAAACATGAACAATGAGAAGCCTCGGTTATGAAGCATCTCAAGTTGAAGACTTAATTCAAGGGACATGTTTGAAAGTGTTATGTGATTCAAATGTAACCTGTTCTTTTTTAAGTGTTGTGTGATTCAGGCGTAACCCGTTGTTTCATCTCTTCTGCTAAACATTTGTGCTTATCTTTTCTTTATCTTATGCACTCATTATTTTCACTCCAATTGGAAAAATATGTTTTAACTTGTCAGATTTGTTTGAACTGCACCCTTTTATTGAAAACAAAAAAATTCAGTCAACTTAATTTGTTTGCCTCTTCCTCAACTTGATATTATCCTCAGAATGGATTAGGTAGCTACCAATTACGTTTTCCTTAATTGTTTTGATAATTTTTATTTAATTTCTCTTTTGATTATGAAAATAATGATTCTAGATTTTTGTCTACCAATTAAATAAATGCTTCATATATGTTTTAGCATCATTCATAATTGACACTTATTGAAATAACCTTGATAAAATAATATGTTTTTAAGAGAAATCATGGATAAATTTGTATAGATCAGGAGAATTTGCCTGTGACCATGTTTAGCATGACATGCATTAAGATGAGAATAGAGCTCATCTATTGGAGTTGACTTATTGTTTATTTTTATTATTCTTTTCCTGACAATGTGTTTGTGACCTCATATTTATGTGCATCTGACTTTAGAATTTCACTTGATTTTAGTTATCGAGAGGGGCAAGAATTTCAGATCTCCTACACCTAGAAGGAGGAGAGAGGGTTGAAGTAGGAGAAAGGAAGCCTTAAATGTAACGGTTCTAAGGTACTATATTGTATTGAGGACTGAGGAGTCTAGAGAGGGACGTTCACCACGAAGAAGGAAGATTTATAAGAATAGAGTCATAGAATAGGTTTCATCATGAGTAGGGAAAAAGGAACTTGAAACTTGCATTATGTAAATTATGTGTGTGATCCAACTCAAGAATGTAATAGAGTCATGTAATATAAGTCGTTGTAGTGTTCTTTAACATGAGTATTTTATTTATTGTTTTGTGACGGTCATGTGAAACACATAAAGCTACAATTTATTGAAAATATTCAATCGAAGGAATGCGGGATTGAAAGAAATTTTGTAGTTATGAAAACGAGTAGTTTGACGAACTAAAGATCAACTATAGACTCAGGGATTCATAAACGGAGAACCAGATCTCAACATAAAGCCTAATATATATCTCTCTTCATTCCAAGCATTTTTGGAGTGCTGTGTTCGCTGGGTATCTTTGATCAACCTTGTATGCACTGCCATTAACAATTAAATATTCCTTGCAAATTATAATATCATGTATCATTGTATCATAGTCCTGCTTAATTAAACTATGCAGTGGATGTACCAAAAGGATTTAATCATCCAGAATTGAATATAATTTTCTCTGTTTGGATGAATTTTTCCATTACTCAAATATGATCCTCCTCGGTTCCACTTTGTTTTGCCCTGTCCACAAAATATTAATGATGTACGAATTAATATTTCAACTAGCACTTGTAACCCAAAATTCTTCATAGATTTTTTGTGTTCAAACTCAACCATATGAGTTGCCCAAGGATACATATGACATTTTAGCTGCGTATTATTATTATCATTATTATTTAAAGTTGCATTGACTGTATGTTTGAGAACACAGATAATATCATAAACATAATTTATAACATAATTTTAATAGAGTAAAAATTATAACTAATAACAAATGTAAATTCACATGTTTTTGAACTCAAATCTAAACATAGTAGAAATTGAATGGATAAAATCGTCAAAATTTTAGCTACCGAAAATATGAATCTTGTACATGTGCTTTTGTTTTTCATTGGATTGTAAAAAGGGAAAGAGAAGGGAAGGAAAACACAGATAATGATGTGTTTATTATTATTATTATTATTATTGTTTAATTGAAAGGTAAATGAAACGAAATGGAAGAAGGAAACAAGTTTGACTTTTAAAAATGAAAATTAAAAAAAATAATTATTTTTTCCTTTAATATTTTTCATCCATCCACCCTACCAAATGGTGAGCTCGGGCTGAGCTTCTCAATTCAGGGGTTTTGAAGCTTCTATCTTACAGTAAATAATAATAATAATGTATCACAACTATCGTAATTTTACATTAATAGAATAAATAATTTGTATTAATAATAAAATAAATGGACAAGTACAGTATAACAGGGTATTACATAACTTATAAATGTAAAATGAATACTGTTATAAATCTTTGTTTTTTGTAAAATATATTCTTATAAATCTTTTAATTAGTTACAATCATTGTAAGAGACTAAAGTATTAAATTTGAACATTAAGAATTAACACTAATTTATCTTTTGGCGGTCATGGCAGGACAGATCGTCCATAGCTTCCCATCCTGATCCTCGGAAATAAAATAAAATAAAATAAATGGGAGCAAAGTCCACGTTTGCGCGCGTTCGGAAACCCTAGGCGCAGTGCGCACGAGGCCCTTCTCCCTCGGCGCATTTTAGCATTAGAACTCTCTGGTCTCCTTCGCTGTTTCTGCAACTCTTACTGCGTTGCGGAGCTTCACACAATTTGTGATATCCACAGAGAGGGAGAGGGAGAGGGAGAGAGAGAGAGGATTATGGGAAGCACCTTTCTTTCTCCGCCACCGAAGCGTTCCATACCCGACCCGAACCCGTTTTCTCCCAACGGATCTTCCAAGCGTTCCAGGTCATCCAAGCCTCCGCCTCCGCCACTCTCCATACCACCCGGCCACGTGGCCTTCCGCCTCCTCTGCAACGCCTCTCGTATTGGCGGAGTCATTGGCAAGTCCGGCGCCATCATCAAAACCCTCCAGAGATCCACCGGCTCTAAGATCCGAGTCGAGGACGCGCCGGCCGAGTCGCCCGACCGAGTCATTCTTGTCATTGCAGACTCTGCACTCGGCGGCAAGGTTCTGCTGAACGAAGACACCGTTGAAATGTCGAAGGCGCAGGAAGCGCTGTTGAAGGTCTTTGATAGGATCCTCGATGTCGCGGCAGAGACGGAAGGGGTTGAGGTTGGCGACAGGGTGATGTCTTGCCGGCTGGTGGTGGATGCGGCACAGGCTAGCTCCGTTATTGGCAGGGGAGGGAAGGTGGTGGAGAAGATTAAAAAGGACACTGGATGTAAAATTAGGGTTTTAACTGATAATTTGCCACTTTGCATTTCCTTTTCCGACGAAATCATTGAGGTATATTTTCTTCTTGCTCGTCTTCTTCAGTTTTGCACTTGTTAGTCAACATTTTAGGTAAAAACTATAAAAGCATTGATTACTATTGTTACTATTTATTCTGCTTTCGTTGTCTAATGTCCGTTATTGTTGAATGTTTAAGCATTTCATGTGGAGTTGACATAGTTTGATAGTTTATTGTAGTAGGATTGGTTTTTCTGATTATGTAGAATGTAGATTACTTCTTTGGACTATAGTTATCAATAGCAGGCTATAGTGGCATTATGGCGGAGCAGCCACCGTCAGCTGCAGAATTTGAATAGCAGAGCGTTTTCAAATATTGGCCAAAATGCTATAAAACAGCCGTAGCAGCACTAGAGTGAAATTTTTCAAAAAAGCTCACTTTTGCCCTAAAAAAAGGCATTGTTTTTGTGGGGTTCCTCTAGGGGCAATATTGATGTTGATATTTCTCTTCCTCTTTTTAGCATTCAAAAATTCCTAATTAGATGTAGTTTCTCTAACTTTTGTCTACCTCCCTCACTGAACCAGCAATATTATGTTCTTCTGATTTTTATTGTTATTTACCTGTATGTTATGCATGACCTATGACTTGTTTTTATTAATTGTGAATATGTCATGAATTTTGAGTGTTCTTTTAAAGTTTTTAAGCATTTATATATATAGTATAAAATATTGAATTTGTATATGTATTTTTCAAAAAGCGGCTATTCCGCTACAGCAATTTTGGCATTTGCCGCTACATGCAGCTATTCGATATTGATAACAATGAGTTTGGAGTTGTTAATAGAAGATTTGTGATGTCAGTAAACTTCCAAAGTGAGTTGTCAAAGGTGAAGAAGTTAAAGCCTCTAGTAGGCATGGAAATAAGACAGGCTAGGCCTCACTTTAAACATGTCAGGCTTGTAGTATAATTATTGAGCTTAAGCCTGACTTGTTACCTGTTAAAAGCTTTATTTTTGACTTGGCCTGACCTATTTGGGTGGCCTAGTCTGGCCTAAAGCCTATTAACAAAGCTTGCGAAAAAATCTGTTAATAGGCAATCAAGCTTAGGCTAGCAAATACGCAATAAACAGACATTTAAATACTAATATTTGAATAATAATAATATTATATATATGTAAATAGGCCGGTTTGTCAGACTTAATAGGCTTTGTAAATAACTCAGGCCTGACCTATTTACTTAAACAGGTCTTAAAAAAAACTTAAGTCATGTTTATTTATTAAAGAGGTCAAGTCGCAGACTCGCAGGCTACTGTTAGGCCGTCTGACCTGTTTCCATCTCAAGCTTCTAGACATAGGGGGGACAATTTAATAGATTGGCATTTTAGTTATTTATTAGATACCTGCTACAGTACCTGTAAATTTGAAAGTATTGTATATCCTATTTAAATTAGCAATTGAGATTTTTTTAATATCTTAGAGATTTAAGGATATTTACATCTTTTCTAAATAAACCACTAATCCCTCTATCTATTACTTTAAAATTAATTGTGATAATTGTTTCCCGTGTGAGAGGGCATTCTATGCCCTTTTAATTTACAAGGCATTGTAGAAATTATCTATTTATTATTGTGGGGAATGCTTGGAGGTTTAGGGCAATAATGTAGGAATTTCCTTTTGGTAAAAGTTATTTCCCATGAAAACAATTTATGAATGCAATTGTGAATTTGCGTTTCTAAAGTTAAGGAAGTGAAAATGGTGTCAGATAGTTTTTCTGTGTGAAGCTTGTTTAAAATCAATACGTAAGTAGTGCAGAGAACCTAAAAACAGCGCAGTTTGCATCATTTTTGGCATTTCCAAAATTTTTATTAAGAAGCAATTGGGGCTTTTATAATTACAAAAAATATCATCAAGTTTGGTGAATTTTAATTCCCTCATGTTCTATTATTATGTCAGTTTTTGCCTTTAGATGAGCCATTCTATGTATTTTTTACACTGCATGGTAAGGATTGTGGTTTTGATGGTCATGGTCTGGACAATGCACAAAGTTATTTGTTTTCAACGTCAAGGAAAAAACTCCACGAAGTTGTATGTGTCAATTGCATTTTTAAATAAAATTTTGCAATTCATTCATAATGTCATAGTGTGCAAGAACTTTTCAAACAACATGCTTGTTGTACCCTAGGTAGTTAAAATCGGAATTTTACTTTAAATCATAAAGGAATGTGAAAATCGTAAATTATAAAATCGTAAATCGAATCGTAAGATTTTATAAAATTCATATATATGATATAAATTCATATTATTCATATAAAATATCATAAATTAAGGGAAAAAACCTTAAAATCAGTAAAAACACTTAAACAAAGTAGCACTCACAAATCATAATTTATTCCATAAGAATGTAATGCATTGACATGAGTAAAAAATAGACTAGAACAGAAAAGATGCAAGAACAGCAGCAATAGACTTGAACTCAGAGCAGTAGCACAATGCTGGGTTTAGTTGCAGACCAGGCTGCATGCACTAGGAGGACTGTTGAATGTTGACAACAATGTTAGGGTTTAAAGCTGCTAGAGGTAAATTGGATTCCATAAAAAGGAGACTCGCCAACTATGGTAGGTTTCAATAAAAGAGGCTTTGTGAAGAATTTTCAAAATCGAAGTGAAATCTTGATTTTACAATGATTTTATTCAACTAGGATTTTATCCACGATTTAAATCGGTGAGACTTCCAAAATTGTAAAATCTTACGATTTTACGATTCAAATCGGGATTTTAACTACCTTGGTTGTACCCTTCTTTAGGGTGATAATCTTCTTGTTATTTGACCTATCATGCATATGGACTAAGTATCTCCAATCTTATAGGCTTATAGCTTGTCATGTGCTTAAGCTAGGAAGGTTATTTTCCTAGGGTTAGAGTTGGAGGGGAAATTCTTTGGGTTGAATTGTCTCCTCAGCATCTTTTTTTTTTTTTTCCTGAATTTTCTGCTTTACCCACACGAGTGTTTCAGGACTTTTAATCTTAGGCCATCTCTTACTTTCTTGGCAAGAGAAAGGTGTCCCTTCTGTTTTCACATTCTCTGAATGTCTTTAGTCCATGTCATGGATTGGATGGTTTTTTAATAGTGAAGCTTGTAGTTGACTTTTCCTCTTAATATCTTGAGTCCCAATTCTTTATTAAACAAACTGTCTCTCTTTTTATGCTGAGAAAACATCTTTTGGATTTGTGAACTGTGGTAGATAGAAGGCAAAGTGTCATCTGTAAAGAAGGCACTTGTTGCAGTCTCCCAACGCCTTCAAGATTGTCCTCCTGTTGATAGAGCAAAGGTGGTGGGGAGCAAACCTTATGAAATGGTACAGCATGAAGCTTTAGTTGCACTTCCTCGTGAGACTTATACTGCAGCACCTCGTGAGACTTTTACTGCAGCTCCGCGTGAGACTTTAAATGCAGTTTCACGTGAGTCTGTAGATCATATGTTGCTGAGAAGCTCTACACTGTCTACTTTATCCAGTACCTCTAACAGCTATGCTACTGGAGTTCATTCACTTCCAGTGGAAGTTAATAGAGTCTCATCCCTGGAACCAAGAACACTTCAGCAGGAAGTCACCTTCAGAATTCTTTGTCCAAATGATCGAGTTGGAGGAGTTATTGGAAAGGGAGGCAGTATTGTTAGAGCACTTCAGAGTGAGACAGGGACTATGATAAGTATTGGTCCTGCAGTAGCTGAGTGTGAGGATCGATTAATTACTATTACTGCTTCAGAGGTCTGTTAAATGAAATCTTTCTTTTTTTAATTCTTTGTATAGTGATTGTATGTATTGTTATTAATTATTATTACTGTTTTTATCAACTTTTTCTTTGGCTGTGGCTTCATCTTTTAACAGAATCCTGAGTCAAGATATTCCCCAGCACAAAAAGCTGCTGTGCTTGTTTTCTCTAGGTGTGTCGAGGCTGGTTTGGAGAAGGGCCTAGATTCTGGATTAAATATGGGGTCATCTGTTACTGCACGACTTGCAGTCCCATCAAGCCAAGTGGGCTGTTTGTTAGGAAAAGGTGGAGTAATAGTGTCAGAAATGCGAAAGGCAACAGGGGCTAGCATAAGAATAATTGGTGCCGATCAGGTTCCCAAATGTGCATCAGATAATGATCAAGTTGTACAGGTTTGGAGATGATACTTTGTTTTATTTTATTTTACAATTAAATCATGCTGGAGCATGTTTTTTTTTATCTTTTCAATGAATGTGATTCTTGTATCTAGCAACTCTAATAAAATATTCCCCCCTTAAACTAAATTAAGATTTCTCACCCTTCATTACGCTGTTTCATACGGTGATGTTTATAGTTCACCATAGTTGTTTAAGTCATCTTGACAATCCTTACGGTGATGCTTAGGTATTTATTAGTAGTTACTCAATCGATGTCCTCTCTTTTTCCTCAGATATCAGGAGAGTTTTCGAATGTGCAAGATGCGCTATATAATGCAACTGGTAGATTGCGAGATAATCTTTTTATCAGTACACAGAATAGTGCTGGAACAAGAAGCTTTTCCTCTCTACAAGTTGATACCAGTCCATATGGGAGATTGCGGGATGTTGTTCCTCTTGGAAGCCAACCAGCCTCTGCCACTTCTCATAGTCTGAGTAGACATACTTTTGCTCAAGGCATTGATCATCGTCCTCTTTCCAGAAATTTAGAGCGCCCTTCTTCACCAGGGTTTTGGATGCCATCAGTATATATCTCTCTCCCTGTGCTGGTTGGTTTTACCTTCACAAGTTATCATTATCATTAATTACTTCGTGATCAAAATTTGATTGCAGACAGTGGCTGGGATAAATTCAAGAGGCATTAATGATGTTAGTTGGGGATTGAAATCTCGAAAAGGCGGCTTAGAACTTGTCAGGTTGTTGATTTGTAAAAGAAATTAGACTTGTTTTAATGCAAACTGCAAATCTATATTTTGATCAGGAACAAACATTAGGTTATCTTGGTATCCCAAATTTTTAGATTTTAATGATATTAAGACCTATTTATGGCATGATGTATGGATGTAGATGTTTGTGGCATACACCTCCCATAACTTTTTCAAATCATGTTATTGAAAAGTTAATTCTTTGTGCCATCTTATATTATTTTCTTACATGGAATAAGTAATGCTACCCTACCAGACGTGTATGTTTTGAACCTTATGTTTTAATACCGAGGATACGCACTTTTTTGGAACTCAACTTTAGTGATATTGTACCATGCATCGTGACCTATATCTGGTGGCAAACTGTTATGCTTGATGAGCATCAACATTTTTAATTGACATTGCTTTTCTTGGATCATTACTCATTTGCTGTTATTTGAAATCCTTGTGTTGGAGTGTAGTTGTAGCCAACATGAACATGGTTTCTGAATAGAATGCCAACAACTCTCAATTTCTTATTTTTATTCTTTTTTTGTTTTTGGGGGTCTGCAGTGGAAGTAAATCTGCTATTGTGACTAACACCATCATCGAAATTGTGGTTCCTGATGATACTATTGACTCTGTATATGGGGAAAATGGTAGCAATTTGGCTCGTCTGAGACAGGTATACAAATTCCATTAAATTTACTTGTTCACCAGCTCACCGTGTTATCCTTATGAACTTGCATTTTGTGATCACTAATTTGATTTGATTTCAATTACTGTTTCAACATATCTATCTATTAAGGAAAATTTTGTTTCAATTTATGTCATTTCAAAAACCAAGGAAGTCTTATCAACTTTATCTTTATGTCTTGTTATTTTCACTAAATGGAACGGGTGATACATAGTATAGATGGAGTGACAATATTTTGAGAAGCATTAAATCGTCCAATGCTCTTACATTTCAGTAATTGAGGCTATTCAGAAACATATTAAAACTCTTTCATAATTACACTAAATTACATATGATTTAAAATGCAGGGATAATTATGTCATGCTTTTCTATTTTTATTTAGATCCGGGCATAGTTATTGTGAAAAACTGACTACAAAGATAATGGGAATCCTTTTAAACTTCATTCATTGTCCTTATCAGATTTCGGGTGCCAAGGTTGTTGTCCATGAACCACGTCCTGGAACAAGCGAAAGAACTATTGTGATATCCGGTTCACCAGATGAAACCCAAGCTGCTCAGAGCCTTCTCCAAGCATTTATTTTGAGTGGATCATGACATCCCCTCACTAATGTCCCATTATTTTCAATTAGATCGTTTAGTTTGTTGACTGTATTGATTTTTGTTTTCCGTTTTGGCCCCACCTGAAATCATGTAATATCCTGCCTTGTATTATTCCCCAGCAGTTAGTGTCTTTGGCTAAATTAATTCAGCTCAGGCTGCCCACTGAACAATAGTGTAGTAATTTAACTTCAATCGCTTGATTCTTTAGTGCATAGCAGTAACAACAGTGAGTCTTTCATTCAAACAACTTTCGCTCGTTGTTTACCTGTATTTTTTTAAGACCTTAATTACCTGCTTTGCATGCCTACGAGCAAGATGTCCTGATTCAACAACTTGTTTAGTTTAGTTTGGATAATTCCAATGAACTCCCGATGAATATCCCCTATTTTATTGTCCATAACAAGCGTATGCGAAATCCCAAGAAATTAATTAATTATAATTATTTGCATCTGGTAAACAAGCACATTATTTTGCAGTCAAAGCATATTTAATTGCAAAATGTAAAGATTAAATTATGATTACCAGGTTAGATCAAAACACGGAGACATTATTATTTTTCACTAATATTAAGGTTTGTTTGGTGTATGGAATTAGAATTGGAGTTTAAAATTGTTTTATTATAATTAAAATTAATTTAGAATTATAATTTTATGTTTGATGCACTTAAAGAATTAAAATGTAAAATTAGATTCTATAGTGTAGATTTAAGATTTAAATTTTTTAAAAATAATTTAATTTTGTATTAAAATTTTATTTAATAATTATTTTAAAAATAATGTGTTAATTAAAAATACAAAAATAAATATTAAATACATTATTAAAGATAATATAATCAAATAATAATTGAATATTTTTTTAAAAAATTATAGAGTTAAAAGAAAAAGAAAATACAAAAAAATAAGAAAATATAGGAAAAGAAAAAAAAAATGTATAAGAAAACCAAAAAATAAAGAAAGAGAAAGAAAGCATCTAGTAGAACAAAGACTAAGAGATACAATGTGTTAAAATGTATTTGTGAATTATGATATTAAGAATTTAAATTATTAAAATACAGGTTACAAATTGAAATAGGTTAAATTTAATTATTATAGAATTTTACAGAATTGATTTATCAAATTATAATCAGAATTTCAAATAGACATTTAAACATAATAATTAATATTTTAAAATTTAATTTTAGTTTTAATGTTCAATCTTATATTCAATTCTATATACCAAACTGTATCAAAGGAAAAAAATTTGATTTGAAGAGAAAATTAATAAAATCACATACAAAGAGGAGTTTTTTTTTTATGTATTTTTTTTTAAATTTAAAAAATATAGGATTTTTGGTGAAACTATAAAAATATGGTTTTTTTTCCTCAAAAATTGCCATGGACGATTTTTTGCCCAAATCTACCAACTATGACTTTTGATGTACTTTTTAAATATTTAATTATTTTCAAAAAAATCGTTCTTGACATTTTTGATTTTTTGATTTTAATATTTTTTTAAAAATTCGCCGTCGACAAATTTTTGAAGTATATCAATTGGCAGTTGATGCAGCAGGGATTAAGAGTGATTTTAACCTATTTGGATCCTCTGCAGGAGGTACAGTGCCAATCTTAACCAGCCATTCTTTATTTTTTATTTTTTAAAATAAAAAAAAATAACTATTTCAAGGCTAGATCCTCTCCGGTGATAATGTCAATGCCGGGATCCTTTTCCGATTTACAAACTGTCATGGACTCCTTGCACCAGTAGCTCACCGCCGTATGCAGTACTTTTATACCTCAAAAATCAACCAATCCGGTCCAAGGTCTGATTAAGCTATCTATCGTTTTGAAGTGCAAAAGATACACAGAAAAGTAAAAGTGTAATGGGGCTTTGATGAATAAGCCTTATATAATATACTGCTTACTAATAAAGTCACAATGTAGAGTTACATTTTCCTTTTGTGAAGAACAAAAGAGAGAATTTATATGGCTGCACATACAAAGCTTATCTGACAATAAAAAATTGAGTATATGGATTTGGTTTAAGGTGGTGGACAGAAAAATAATTATGTTTGGTGTTGGGAAAATCAATATTAATTTTTCTCCAGTTAGTTATTTAATTAAAAAATTGTGAGTTCTGATTATGTCATGGCGATGGTAAAATTAAGATCATGATCTTGGCTTCGGGTCAAGGAAGTGACGGGATTTTATTTTTCTTATTTAGAGTGGTTTATGAAACCACTTTTGTGCTTCAAGACCTCGTAATAATTTCATTAGATACACGTGCATCCTAGTAATTTAAATTTTTTGCTGGGAAAGAGATAACATTTCAAAATCCCTTTTATTTCATGCAAAGTTATTGAGTTTCACGCAGACTACTACATTTCTTCTGCTAAAAGAGGCTCTGTGACTAATTTTATACACAAATTGTCGTGGTAAAACTAGTTTGAATTCAGGTTACAATTGTTCTGGGGATTCAACAACTTGGGGTCGGGAATAGTGAATCAATATTCATATACAGAATCAATTCCTTGCTTTCGATAACAATGCGTGAGTTTATTGAAAAAATCAATACCTAATCAAATGGCGGCGTAACCAGAGTTCATACATGACCATATGAAACGCATCTAGTCTGACTGGAGGTGTATTCCACTTGAAATGCTTCTGAATCTGAACAATAAAGGCAGAAAAAAGAGATAAACAAAACAAAGTAGAGGTTATCATCTTCTGACGCGAGAAATACTAAATATCTCGTTTTCCAAAAAATTCTTCGATTAAGAAATTTGGAAGGGAGCGAAAGGGGGAGTTGGAGGAGTGGTAAGAGTTTGTGGTTTCTCTCACTAAATTATCTTTACTTTTAATACTTGAGATTAATGATTTTATTTGTCTAATTTCAGGGGTTTCTCCCCTCACCTCCAGTTTAACTTGGTGATATTTAAGATGCAGGGTACACTGCTAACAAATGATTTCTACAGTACAGATATGATGATGGAATCATAGAAACGATCCTCTATTTTATTGTATGCTTTGTTATCCTCATACAACTTATCCTCTTAAATTCACAAACAGAAAATAAGCAGTACGAAGGATGATATAACTGAAAAGAAAGAAGATTAACTTCCAACTTCTTATACTAGGATAAGAACATCAATACTATCCTCACAGTTACACACCAAATCTTCATAACATTTAGAAGTTCAGAAACTGAAATTTAATACTTTTAATAGTACCTTCACTAAGTTCTGATTCAGGGTCATCAAATGTTTCTCAGATATACTGCTGAGAATATCTTTGAGTAGATAAACATCAGTTTCCTTCAGTATAACAGAAAATTTCCTCCAATCCAGAATATCATTAAAAGGCAAGTCATAATAGTTAGACATGATAACTGCAGAAAGAAGGACGAGCTTTCGTTAGGAAATGGCATTTGAAGACACATAAACAGACATACAAGAAGCTGATCACTAGTTCAGTATTTTGAGACTAGTTCTATCATGAATGGCAGAAATGGCTGGAGCAAAAATTCGAAAGGTAATAAGTTAACCCCCATAAAAGGAAATGTGCAGCCAGAACCACTTCTACATTGAAGGTAAAAGATTTACTTGAGTATTATTCTATATTACAAAGTATGTTGCCAAGAGCAAAATCCGTTGGGCAGCCAGCAAATATAATGCATGTTACTCCCTATTGGAGTATGGAGACTCTTTCCAAGAGCCAGAGCAGTTTTCTGCATGGGCATTACTTGCACAATTGATATAAACAAATTGACAAAACGAAGTAACTAACTAAACTATGGACAAAGGAAAGCAAGAACAGAACATAAGAAGTTGAGGTTTTCCGCTACCAGATATGGTTTACCTGGAACACACCCATAGTAGATAGAGTCTGCGATACGGCTGCTACCAACAGGGCCCTGAGGGCACAAACAAAACTTGGATTTATACAGTTTCTCCATATGTACAATTGGCCCAGTCGCTCGAGGGTAAATTCTGTTGTTCTGGATGTCAAGTTCAGTATCATTGTCCCACATAGCTGCTAGTTCATCTTTCAATATAGAATCGAAACGACCAGCCCAAAAAGCAAGCGTATTCCTGCAATTTTTCCATTGACGTGAATTGAATTCTCTGTTTCTGATAGGTGAAAGAATTCCCATTTATGCAAAGGCTAATTCTATTGGATTGATTAACAAAATAATATGGACCTACCTATTCTTGAGGTCATTTCCCCCTGGAGGGTGAAAAAATGGCAGCTGCACTTGTGGGAGGGTAACATCCTTATGTGGAATATAATCATCGTTATCATAACTTGCTGAACAAACCACTCGAATTGAATTTTTCACTAGATGTAGAACTCCTTTAGTAGCCTTGGCACCAATATCGTGGCAAGTCACAAAAAAGTGATCAGCACCCAAAGTTCTGTTCCAATAGGGGTACTTAGACCTTAGGCGCTCCACATACTTCTCAACTTCATCAATCATACGCTCGTTACTCAACCCCTGCATGATTCAGACGTGCATTAGCTAGACCTTGGTATGAATTGATAAGACTGATAGATGATAGGAGATATAAATAAACAGGATTCTTGGTCTTGTTAAGCAATTTCAACCTAATAGATCTACGATTTTCAGCATTATCTACAATGGGAGAAGAATTAGCTACAATACACAATTGATTTGGACGAATAACGAAGCATATGCATGAAAATCGGAAAACCAATTGTAAATCGGTGTTGAATAATTAATTCAAGTAAGACTGACTTTCTCGCTGACACTTTCAGATAAAAATCGCAGGAAGAAAAGGAACATACTCTGCCTCGCATTTTGTGGCAAGATATAGGAAGGAAGAAGAGGTGAGCTCGACGAGGATCATCGGTGAAAAAACGGCTCTCTCTGATATTCTTGAAGAAATAGCCTTCGCTTGCGTATTTACCGGTGAGTTTCCTCGGCGAGTGGAAATAGGTTTTAGGATCACCGTCGGGGTAGACAAACACCTTGAACTCCTTCTCCATCTTCTCGTAATCCAAGTGGAAAGCCTCCTCCGGAGAATGGAACACGCAAGAAGAGGAGTGTGATTTGCTATGTGACTGTGCATTATCGAAACGGAGCTTCGCGGAAAGGAAACAGAGTGTGAGATTGGATTTGGAAGTGAAAAGAGATTAAAGAGAGGGAAATAACAAACCTGGAGGCGTGAGAGTAGGTGTGTGGAGAAGATTAGATACAGAACATAAGAGACTATGCATACTGTGGAGACGTATGCGTATCCGCGAGGCTGATTCCGGACCACGGATATTCCCGGAAAATTTGCCAGGTTTTCTCGGGAAAATGGCATTCCGGCGGGAAAATATTACTTCCGCTGTAACGGTCTTCTTTGCGCTTGGAATTCGGAACAAACCTCCACTCGAGCCAGTAGCCACAACAAGCGTAAGCAAATCACCACTTTAAGATAAGTAAACAACTATTTTAACTTACTTAAAATTTATGAAATGGATTTTGCCTGAGAAGTGTAAAGAAGACAGAAGCTTCACTTATTTGGAATCAGGATTTGTTTAAATTATCGTATGAAAATGAAATAAATAACTCTATTCTAAGTAAACTAGTAAAATTTTATTTAAAATAAATAAATGAAAATTCAATATAACTTTTAATGTAATATGCTTACTTCCTTAATCTACTTAATATAAGAATATTTATTCTATGGGACAAATTAAAAAAAAAAAAGTTAAATTATTTTTATGTTTGACAACAACAGGAAATGAAAATACAAGATTAACACCTATATTTTTATTTTTTTAATTTTAATTTTGTAAGCTTAAATAATTTAAAGATAGATTGATTTTATATGTTATTCTTTGTCTATTTGAAAAGTGTAGCTTTTCTCCTCTCCGATGTGTATATTTTAAAATTATAATTGATTTAGAATAACGTGTGAACTACACATAATTTCTTGTTTTAATATTTTTATTTTAAAATTTAAAGAATAAAATTATTTTTATTATCTTACATAAATATTTTAGAATTTTTTAAATATTTATTTTTACATTTATTAAAATTATTTTAACTTTTTTAAATTTAGAATTTACTTGTAAGAGTTTGATTTCTTGCTTTTATAGTTATTACTATATATTAAATACTTTTGTAGGCATTATAATATAGGCCCGGTGTGATTATTTTATGCGAGTTACCATTTTTCCACTTCTTTTTCTTCTTTGGTCCCCTAAACACCCGTTGGCGTGTATATTATTTGAATCTCGAGTTAATATCCTAAGAATGATAATTACTAAAACACTAATAAGTAATAATTTGTATTATGAATTATATTAAACTTTATATTTGTAATTTCTGAACTAGTGATTTTTGTCTGGGTCAACAAGTAGTTAGTGAAGTTAACATTTGACACAGTGTTTGAACAATTGGTGGTGACATAATTTGGACGAGATGCAAGGTAAAAGGCCCACACATGACAAGTCGCAAGTGGGAAATAGTGTGTGACGAATACTAGGGAGTAGCATCATTTCAATTTTCAAATTCTCCAAACGCAAGGGTGAGGGAGGCACACGCAAAAAAGTTTAGTTTAGCTTAACACACAACAGCGAGCGAGCGAGTCCCCACAGACGTTCCTTCCTCTCCAATCAATTAATCCAACAATCTAAATCGTTTCAAAACCCTAGCTAGGGTTCCATCCAGCGATCCAATCAACCATGGCGGACGAAGCTTCTTCTTCTCCTCCTCCATCATCATCATCATCATCATCATCTGCTGCTGCTGCTGCTGCTGCTGCTCCTCTTGGTTCGACCGTGATCTCCTTAGTGAACAGGCTTCAGGACATCTTCTCCCGCGTTGGAAGCCAATCCACCATCGACCTTCCTCAAGTCGCCGTTGTCGGCAGCCAGAGCAGCGGCAAGTCCAGCGTCCTCGAAGCCCTCGTTGGCCGCGACTTCCTCCCCCGCGGCAACGACATCTGCACTCGCAGACCCCTCGTCCTTCAGCTCGTTCAGACTAAGCGTAAGCCCGATGCCCCCGACGACGAGTACGGCGAGTTCCTTCATCTCCCTGGCAAGAGGTTCCACGATTTCTCCGAGATTCGCCGCGAAATTCAGGTTTAGCCCCAACCTCTTTCTTCACTCATGTGATACTAGTAACTGGAAAGGGAATTTCTATGTTTAGCTTTAACTATCTTGATGGATGAGAATTGATACGGAAATTACCATTTATTTAGGTCGTAAAATAAATAGCCTTGGAGATAAGTAGAATGTTATGTGCCTGTTTGGCTGAGATGAGTATGGGAGAATCCTTAACGTCGATTGTCCTAATAATGAGAGTGATCCCTTTCTATCATGAAGTTTATTTTCTCTATCCAGATATGGAGGTTAACTTGCTTTTCCCCATTCGCCCACAAATGAGGCACTCACTCTTGCACACGGCTAAATTAACTATCATTGAACTGAGTTAAACTCAGGTGAGATTCACTAGTGATCTGCAATGGTCATGTCTGTATTTTTCAAGTTGATGGCTTCAAATGTTCTGACCATACAGTGGAACAAATTTACATTTTAGAGACTTGATCCTTTGACATTAGTAAATTGGAATACAATAGAATGTAAATTAGTTGAATGAGCTTTGAGGGGTATTGTTTCGTCTTTTGTCACTGTAGCTTTCAGGTGTACCGTCAACATTAGTACCTTATCAATAGGTAATTGCTGTGTTGGTTGAAAATAAAGGTTCAGTATCCGTTGGAACTGATTTTTTTGTTTTAAACTTTTAAGGTTGAAGGGTGGTTGAATTTGAGAGTTCCATTATTTGGATCTGTAAAACTCTTGATGATGATAAACTGATATGATATACAATGAACTAGTTCATTAATCCTTTTTATCTCACTGTTGACTTGTATATCTTTGTAGGCTGAAACTGACAGGGAAGCAGGAGGGAACAAAGGTGTCTCAGATAAGCAAATTCGATTAAAGATTTTTTCGCCAAATGTTCTTGATATCACACTTGTAGATCTCCCAGGCATTACAAAGGTTCCTGTTGGTGACCAGCCTTCTGATATTGAAGCTCGAATCAGAACAATGATCATGTCATATATCAAAACTCCTACCTGTCTCATTCTAGCTGTTACCCCAGCAAATTCAGATTTAGCTAATTCAGATGCTCTTCAGATGGCAGGAATTGCTGATCCTGATGGTGGGTTTTTGCTTCCATATGCCTGAAAATTTAATCCTTTCACATCTCTTTAATTGGGTTTTAAATGTTCATATTATCTGTTGCAGGTAATAGAACAATTGGTGTAATCACAAAGGTTCAGTCAGTACTCTTCTAACATTCTAACTTGTGCATGTTTGTGAAATTTGTTTGCTGTTGCCATGTTCTGACAATGTTAGGCATTTGTTCTTTGAAATGTAGTTGGATATCATGGACAGAGGTACTGATGCCCGGAATCTGTTACTAGGAAAAGTGATTCCCCTTCGACTTGGTTATGTAGGCGTTGTAAATCGTAGTCAGGAGGTAATGCTGTTATACTAAAGTGATAAAGGCAGTGTTTGACTACTTTAACCTTTGCATGTGTTCTGATGGATATTTGTTAAAATTACTGGGTGTTGTGTTGTCTTGCAATATGTAAGGGTACTTTGCAAATAAATATAAACATGTAAAGTCCTTCATTAACACTGAGGTCAATATGTATGCTGAATTATGGTTTATTTATTGTATTGTTTCATCAAATTAGGATATTCTAATGAACCGGAGTATAAAGGATGCTCTTGTTGCTGAAGAGAAATTTTTTCGCAGTCGTCCTGTAAGGAACTTCCTATGCTTAGTTAATAGTCAAGTTTTTACTTTTATATACCTTATTTTTATCTATTTATGTTATTCATAGGTTTACAGTGGTCTAGCAGATAGTTGTGGTGTTCCTCAACTAGCAAAGAAGTTGAACCAGGTAAAGTTTTTATGACACTAAAAGCACTAACATCTTATGTGATATATTTTACTGTTTAAAAATGTAGCCTTAATTAGGGCTTTTGGTCTCCTTTATTCGTGCAGAGTAAAGAGTCTGCTTCAGTTTTCACATATTTTCCTTCTTTATTTGACACTAACATTTAGGTTTTTCCTTTATATAAAGGCGGTCAAAATAATTTTTCCTTTGTATCATTGAATTGTATCCTCTAACCGAATTGGGGTTTCAAAGAAGTATACTTAATTGCTCCACCTTCAATCCTGATTTTGTGGTGGTTTTGGTATTTTGCTTTATCATTTATATCATCCTATGAAAAGGAGAGAAAGAAAAGTTGAAAGAATGGACTTTCTTTTTCTTTTTTTGGGGTTGTGAAAGAATGAACGTTATTTGTTGCTTGGGTCTGTTAGGGACTGAATGAGTTTGAAAAGAATGTGAATATAGCCTAGTTATAACTTTACCAGAGTAAATCCATACCCTTTCAACAATGGAAAGGCAAAATTGTTAGATAGTTCTTGGATAGAACTAAATTCTTACAAATCCCAGAAAAGAGCACATAATGTTAGGATACAATTGCAAGGTATGGGACTTGAGCCCCACATTGGAACTATGAAATTCTTGTGTGTGGTTTTTATATCTATGGGCTCTCTAAATACAATGACTAGCTTTTGTATTGTGGTTCTCTTAAGGTTCTTATTGATTAAGCTTTTTGGACTGATGCATGTCAATAAGATGTCATATGTATTTGCCTGTTCATGTTTTTGCAGATTCTAGCACAACATATCAAGGCTGTGCTACCTGGGCTGAGAGCACGTATAAGCACTTCACTTGTTGCTGTTGCCAAGGAGCATGCAAGCTATGGAGAAATCACCGAGTCCAAGGCATGTGTTAATACCAGGACATGTTCCAATGACTTGTTAAATACTTAAATAGTTAAATATACTGTAATGATGTGATTAAAAAGCCACATTTTTTCTACTTTGGCTTAGATTTTGCTCTGCTTTATTTATAATTATTCCTCTCTGATAGGCTGGTCAGGGTGCACTTCTCCTGAATATTCTTTCAAAATATTGTGAAGGTACATATCTATCCCAACCATCTGGTTTCCTATCTTCTATTCATGAACTTGTATTTTTCTTTTCTTTTTGTATTTGTTGACCAGTATTCACATATTGTTACCTTTCCAATTCAGTAAATGTTTTCTCCATTTTCTTTTGAAAACAGCATTCTCCTCCATGGTTGAGGGAAAGAATGAGGAGATGTCTACATCTGAGCTATCTGGTGGAGCACGGATTCATTACATTTTTCAATCTATCTTTGTCAGAAGTTTAGAGGTATATAATCCTGTTCCTGTATTTATGTATGATATTGTTAAAAAATATACTTACTCTCATGCTATACTTAAATTAGACATGGTAAAAGAGTAGGCAACAATAATCTATTGGCCCATTTTCAGCTGAATAGAAAAAATTCAACTAGCCTATTTTCTATTTGTTACAGTGGATGTCTATTCAGATATGATTATCTGAATCATATGATAAAAATCCAACCCATCCCTTTATTGCATTTCATTGATGTATGACAATTACTCAATCATTTGTTATTATTTAATTAACATTATTAAACAAATAATACTATACCAACGGAGGTTGATCCGAGCGGCAAGTGGCTTGGTATCACTTAAACAAGGTCTTAGGTTTGAGTCTTTGTATATGCAAAAAATCTTCAGTGATAGACTCATCCACCACATCCAAGTGCGCGACTTGGGTTGGATCCGGATTAAAACTGGATGGAAAACCAAAAAGAAAAATGAAATAATAATACTATCAAATACACTAATCATATGTATAATTCTTTTTAACAATAAAATTAGTTAACTTGTTTTTGCTTCAAATCACATAATCTTTTTTGTATATGTTAAATGCTTCATTTTGAATGTTATTGTTAAAATGTTGCACATTAGTTAGGAATAGAACCAGAATACTCCTTATAAGAGCTTGCATAGTCCTCCTATGAGCTAGCTTTTGAAAGTGAGTTAGGTGCAAGTTTCTTAACAATTATTATTATGGTCTAAGAAAACCACACATAAAAATTCAATGTATTTCAAGGAAAGGGAAAATAATATTTTTATTATTAGCACATTTATATGGTATTGAATTTTAAGCAATAGACAAAATAAACTAGTTCCATCTTGAGTCCCAAATTGTAACTTAATGCTATCTTGAAGGAGGTGGATCCGTGTGAAGACCTGACTGATGATGACATTCGCACTGCCATACAGAATGCAACTGGGCCTAAATCAGCATTGTTTGTTCCAGAAGTAGGTATTTTTACCCTTTTTTTAATATAAAATCACACACACACACACACACACACACTGAGATTGGAATTATATTTTAAATTTTTCTCAGTTGATTTTTAATTTTTTATTAATGTTTTTCTATATACTTTGTGAATCCAAATTCATATTGAATATGTTACAAAAATCTTACTCAAGAACATGTTTTTCTATTTATTTCCATGTAATTAGGTTCCATTTGAAGTTCTTGTGAGAAGGCAAATATCCCGCCTATTGGATCCAAGTCTTCAGTGTGCCAGATTTATATATGATGAATTAATAAAGGTAGGAGCAGGACTTCAAAGTTTTCCATCTCTGCTGTCTTGCTTCATCAAATATGTGCCTAAAACAAAATTCCTTCTCTTCAGATCAGCCATCGCTGTATGGTCACTGAACTGCAGCGATTCCCATTCTTGCGGAAGCGCATGGATGAAGTTATAGGGAACTTTTTACGAGAAGGTCTTGAACCCTCAGAGAACATGATTGCACACATAATAGAAATGGAGGTATGCTGAAATTTAACTTGTTTGAAGTATATTGTATAATTTCTCCATCATCTACCCATAAGTATTCATAAGTTTATGCACTCCAGTAGAAACCATTGACATGCCATGAGTCGGTCGGCCAGCTCATTTGCATCAATTGTGTTGGTCAGTCTATCATAATGAATCATCAATTTCCGTATCCATGATTTCTTTTTTAAACTACTCAATTCTGCAGATGGACTACATCAACACTTCCCACCCAAATTTTATTGGTGGAAGCAAGGCGTTAGAAGCTGCAGTGCAGCAGACTAAGTCATCTAGGGTTGTTATACCTGTTTCTAGGCAGAAGGTATGCATATTATGAGATTCAATTCCAAATTAGCCCTATGTTTGGAATTTGACATATGAATACTAATTTATGCTAGCCTTTTTTTTGTTTTCAAATTTTTTAATTAATCTCCAATAGGATGCTCTGGAATCTGATAAAGGATCAGCCTCTGAAAGAAGTGTGAAGCCTTGGGGTATCCTTGGAAGACAAGCTAATGGAGCAGTTACTGATCCGGTTTGTAATTGTACAATGTTTAATTGACTAGAAGTTTTCCTTAATATCTTTGTGGGAATCATGGTAATGGCTACTGCATTAATATCTCACTATTACCACTCAATTCTTATGATATAAATAAAAACAGGGTGTCCGTGCTGCTTCAGATGTTGAAAAAATTTTACCCTCTGGTAATTTGTTTCTTCTATTTGATGTTTGGGTTTGTCACATTTATCTTATCATACATTTGCTTTGATGATTTTCTTTTGGTTCAATCTTAATCAAGTGATTATTTTGATGTACCAACATTCAACAAGCATTATTATTAAAGATATTTACTTTTCAAATGCATGATAACTTTTTAGGAAACACTGGTGGATCAAGTTGGGGTATCTCATCCATTTTTGGTGGAGGTGATAGCCGAATTTCTGTGAAAGAGAATATAGCTAGTAAACCACATCCTGAACCAGTTCACAGCATGGAGCAATCATTCTCTATGATCCATTTGAGAGAGGTATAAATGTACGACTCATTTATCATCACCTTGATCAATATGTTCCATGGGTATAAATTCGCTTCATCTGCTTTGATTTTTGTAGCCACCTCCTATCTTGAGGCCATCTGAGAGCAATTCAGAGACAGAAGCTATTGCAATAACAGTAACAAACTTGCTTTTGAGATCATACTATGACATTGTCAGAAAAAATGTTGAGGATCTTGTCCCCAAAGCAATTATGCACTTCTTGGTACTTCATATCCTTCTTTTAGATTTTGCAAAGTATTTCAATTATAAATCCAAAAATATTATTCTCTTTCTGTTGTGTTGCATACACAAATATTTTTCGATTTTCTTTAGCCATTTTTTAATCGAAAGCTTGTGTAGACAGGTCCTCACAAGTTGTGTGGACTAAACCAGTTAACAACTTACACATCACTTCAAATGCAAAATAATTGTGTTACGGGAATTTATGTAATTATTTAATATGAAATGATTGTATGTCAATATAAAGTGGCTCTTGTCTGCACAAGAGTTTCTCTGTTTTCTAACCTGCTTAAGTGATGGTGTCTTCAAGATGTGATGCATATTTTCTCCCCTATGGAAAATCGTGAGTGCACTCAAATAAGTTTATATTGTAGCTCGATTATTTTGCATAGTTGTAAGCAATACAAGTAGTTGTAATATCTCTCATTCATGAGTGTAAGTATATGAACTCTGTGGTTGACTATTTTTGTGGGGAGGGGGATGATTAGTTCTTTTGCTGACATTCATAATATTTGACCATTAACTCTGCTATTTAGTTTGGAGTGGTTGAGAATACTTGAATTTCTTGTATTCAATAAATCCTTATATGTATTTTACTAAATCATATCAGGTAAACAACACTAAGAGAGAGCTACACAACGTCTTCATCAAAAAGCTATACAGGTAACATCTAGCGACTATGGCCTGCTAAATCGTTGTGATGTATACATAAAATTTTTGCCAATGTTGCTTGCTGATTGTGCTTTGTATTTCAATTCAAACCAGAGACAACCTGTTCGAAGAGATGTTGCAAGAACCTGATGAGGTAGCTATGAAAAGAAAGCGCTGTCGAGAACTTCTCCGAGCTTATCAGCAGGCTTTTAAGGTACACATTCCTAATGATTTGAAGTGCAATGTCTGACCAAATTTATGTTGTTTTACATGGCATGCTTGGTTCCCCATTATTTAAATTGGTTGCTTTGTTGTGGTTATTTTCATGATATTTAGTGCTCATCTAGTTAAAGGTGCAGGTATTTGTAAGAGGTAAGAAAAACAAACTTTCACCGTTGAGCTGTATACACATGGTCAAGATTGGAAGTTATTTGACCAGTTGTAGAAGTCAATGATATGTTTTAATGTTAACCATTTATGTTTAGTAGTCAAGATTTGTTCCTCAGTCTCATGATAAATTGTTGTTCTAAAGATAAATTTGGTTCTCGAATCTAATGGGTGACTCTTGACAATATTTCATTTTCACATGGTGTGGTCCCCCATTTGTCTGTACCAGTTCCTCTTTGAAACATTGGTTTTCTATGAATTGTAAGTCAATTGCCAGGGTTGTAGGTTGCAACGTGATGTGACACTTTTCTACATTCATGATTTTGACTTGTCAGTGTTTTTATTATTTCCAGCTGTATATGGTCAATAAGATTTATTTATTTTATCTAGCTTTTCTATTTAACAACAGTGGTAACAAAGTATAGGCACTGTCTGATAAATGTATGTTGTCTTGGTAGGACTTGGAGGAATTGCCTCTGGAAGCGGAAACAGTTGAAAGAGGATACAGTTTGCCTGAAACAACTGGTTTGCCTAAAATTCATGGATTACCAACGTCATCGATGTACTCAACAGGCAGTTCTGGAGACTACTATGCAGCTTCTCCGAAGTACAGTAAGTCAAAAAGGTCTTCTCATTCTGGGGAGCTTCAATCTCCATTGCATGTTAATGCAGATTCCAATGGAAGTGGAAGGCCATTCATGTCAGGTTTCTATCCCACAATTGATGCATGAGCTATAGCTGAATGAGGTCGTTGGTAGTTTAACTCGAGGCATTTTATTCATTTGATTACACTGCAACTTTCGGGAATTGGAATTCTACCACCCGGGAGCTGGACTGCATGGAATTACTGTTTATCTAACTAAATGGTCTTGAATGTAGGCCACTGCTTTCTTTACATTAGTACACTTTTTGTTCTCATACAGCATTGCCATTATTTACTAGTCTCCGGAGAAAGAATAATAGGAGCAGGTGATGTTTCACATTTTTGAGAATCGGCTTTCTATATATTTATGTATATTTTTTTGGTGGTTAGTCAGATATTTCTTTTGTGCTTTGCAGTTGCAGATTGTTGTTTTGGCAGAAATGGCTGACTTTGCAAACAATATTGCTTTTCAATTTTAGATATGATGTAGGGATTTCCTATGTGATCGTTATTGCAATTGTTTTAAAGAATTTTACATTTATTGTGTTTCTTCGGTTTTAATCCCGTGAAATAGCCACTAAAGTTTTTATGTGATGATACACCTGGTTGAGTTGCGTCTCAGTTGTTAGATTTACATTACGAGTTGCTGTGATTTAGGATTTTTTTATTTTTTTTTAGACTACAGGTATCTTTGAAGAGAATCTTATTAGACATGATATTAACACCGTAAATGGAAAAAGTTTCCCCATAAATATTGAATTGAATTGCGTTTCTCGATAATATTATTAATTTTTACAATTTTATTTTAACACTTCATTAGATAAAATTCATGTGAATTTTACAAAGCTCTTGTCTAGATAATTTTTTATAATAAATATTCATTAATTTATTTCTATTATGACTTTCATTTAAAATTTTAATAGATTAAATGAATTAGAACATGTAGAGCTTGGAATGTTTTGTCAAATTAAAAACATCAAACTTACACATTTTGATACTTACTAATTGTTGGTTTATTGTTACAACTTTAGAGACTTTGTAACTAGATTGACTTTAGTAGTATGTGAAATAATTGTGGGAATTTGAACTTATTTTTAATATTTTATAGTTTCTCTTAACAATTTGAAATTGCCACAATATTAAAAGTCTAATAATTTTGAAAACTAAATTTAATAGCTGTTTGGCAAGACAATTGTCCAAGTCTTAGCTATTTCTCCACCTTTGTCCTCCGGCCTCTTCCACCTCTTCTCATTTACGATTAGAATCTTTTTGTGTTTTTTTTGAACGAATTTTTTTCTATGCAAAAATAGAACATCTTGTACAAGTCATTGCTAAAGATTTTTTCATATACTTTATCATTCTTCAAGGATCCTTTCATCCATTATGTTAGATATCAAGAAAAATCAATTTTGGTTTCAAGGAATACACCTCTTTTGATGAATAAATGGAAATACTATTTTATCCATGAAAGAACAAAAAAATGATATGATTCAATCTCAAACCTATTTGAATGTAGCTGATAACAGCGGAGCCCGCGAATTGATGTGTATTCGAATCCTAGGAGCTAGTAATCGATGATATGCTTATATTGGTGACATTGTTGTTACTGTAATCAAGGAAGCAGTACCAAATATGACCTTAGAAAGATCAAAAGTGATCAGAGCTGTAATTGTACGTACTTGTAAAGAACTCAAATGTAGCAACGGTATACTAATTCAGTATGATGATAATGCTGCAGTTGTCATTGATCAAGAAGGAAATCCAAAAGGAACTCGAATCTTTTGTGCAATCGCACGGGAATTGAGACAATTAAATTTCACTAAAATAGTTTCATTAGCACCCGAGGTATTATAAAATTATAAGGCAAAACCGTGATATGGATATATTTGTTTTGTAATGAAAATGGATTAATTAATATATTATATCTCACACATATCCCTTGCTATTCAGTAATTTCATTTAATTATAACTTTGTTTTATCTGACCTCAATATCAGTGTCTTTTTATGGATTACTATTTCAAGTATTGCTCCCATTGAACTTCTTATGTCAGGATATGGGTCAAATAATAAATATTCCTTTTTGGGTGGTCTACGAGCTGCTGCTCAATCGATTAGTTATGAAATACCATTAACTCTATGTGTGTTATCAATATCTCTACGTGCGATTCGTTGAGACAGAAGCTTTTCGATACTATTGCTATACTCCCCCCTTTCTTTATAGTGCTTTCTAGTAAAGAAGGATAATAAATTGAATATATATCCTTATCATTATTCTTTTTCGAAATTCGGATTGAAGAATTTAATCAGATAGTTATATTAGTGAAATAAAACAGCTTCTATTGAATAAATTAATATCTCTTTTTGTCTAACTCACTTCCTTTTTTCTTTGTGAGTTTCGGGAGTATCCCCATTCATAGGTCCGAGATCCACATCTATGAGTTGAAAGGTCCGAATGATCCACTCTGTAATCAGTTGTTAGAATCAATAGGTCTTCAAATCTTTCATTTGAAAAAAAGGAAACCCTTATTATTGGATGACCATAATACTTTCCAAAAATCGAAATTCTTGATCAATGGAGGAACAATATCACCATTTTTGTTCAATAAGATACCAAAGTGAATGATTAACTCATTCCATACTAGAAAGAATTGCAGGAAATCTTTTGATAATACGGATTCCTATTTCTCAACGATATCCCACGATCAAGACAAGTGTAGCTTCTTTTCTGCAAAATAGTGACTCCTCTCATTAATCAAATACCTCTAAAACTTCAATTAATTCAATTTTCACTCTCGAATCTATCAAATACACACTCTAAACATTGAATCTCAATTCAAGTATCCCAATTGTGCCTCAGAAATCAGATTCAGCAGAATATTCACATACATTATGCAGAAACTTCCAGAAATTGGTAAAATCTGGTTATGCAGAATCTTAAACTCTTAACTACACATTCACCTCATCAATTCTCAATTTAAGCATCCAAATGCACCTCAGAAAATCAGATTCAGCAGTATTTATGCAGAGTTTTTATAGAATAACAGAAATTTACAGAACATTAATATGCAGAATTCTAAAAATACTATAGAAAGCTTAAACTGGGTTAGAAATATGAGTTGCCTCTCACAAAGCGCTTCTTTAATGTCACTAGCTTGACATTAGTTGTTCCTCACTCAAGATGAACCATTTCAAGCATGATATGTTTCTTGCAAACTCTTCTCCATGATAGATCTTCAATCTTTGGCCATTGACCTTGAATTCCCTCCCTGTTTTCTGATCTTCTATAAGAATGGCTCCAAAGGGAGAGGTCTCCTTTATTAAAAATGGTCCAGACCATCTAGATTTTAATTTCTCTGGAAACAATTTTAATCTTGAATTGAATAGCAGCACTTGCTGGCCAGGTCTGAAATCTTTTTGCAGAATGAACTTGTCATGGATTCTCTTAGTTCTTTCTTTGTACAACTTTGCATTCTCATAAGCTTGTTGTCTGAATTCCTCTAATTCATGCAACTGCAGAATTCTCTTCCTTCCAGCACTTGACAGATCAAAGTTAAGCCATTTTGTAGTCCAATATGCTCTATGTTCCAGCTCTAGAGGTAGGTGACAGGCCTTTCCAAATACTAACTGATATGGAGACATACCAATTGGAGTTTTAAAAGCAGTTCTATATGCCCACAATGAATCATCCAGCCTCTTTGACCAATCCTTCCTTGAGCTGTTCACTACTTTCTCTAGAATTTGCTTGATTTCTCACCAAGATTATAGTTTTCTTAGGGATAAGGAACTTTGATCTTGCAATCTTTTGGTTTATTATACTTAAAACAATGTTGAATTAAATCATATCTAAGGAATTAGAATGTTTTAATTGAATGTTAGGTTCACTGAGTTAAGGAATTAACCTCTGAACAATAGAACATGAAACTGATTGTCTTTCTTTCCAAATGCTTGTTAATTCAGAACTTTATTGATTAAACATTGGAGTTTTGGTGAAGCAATTCCCTAGCTATGGTTTCTTCCTCTGTTATCACATAATTGTTTGTTCATTGTTCTGTTTTCTGCAAGTTCATTTTACTTTTAATTGTTCTGGTTTGCTGTTATTACATGTTACTACTCTCCTTCTAATTTTGAAAAAGCTTAAATGGTTATAATTCTATGAAGTGGTATTTGAAACCTAAATTCCCTGTGGAGACGATATTTAGATCTTAAATTTACTCATTACTTGTTGCAATCCTAGTGCACTTGCTAGTGTTAGATTGCGAACAACAAGTTTTTAGCGCCGTTACTGGGGAATTTTGCATTTCAATATCATTAGTAGTAGAAAAGTAACTAGATTGAGCATTTATTTTGTTGCTTTGCTTTCAAATTACTTTCTGCATAATTTTACTTGATTTTGTGTAGTATTCTGCATAATATTGCTGTCTGCTGCACAAAGTTTTTTTTTTACATTTTTTTTATTTGCATAATTTCGGTTTTCATTGTTCTTCATATTTGTAATTGCCATTCTGCATATTTTTTACATGATTTTACAATTCTGCAACTGCTAGATTTAAGTTTCTATATGCTTTTACTGATAGATTTTGCATGATTTCTGTTGTGCATTTCTGAATACTGATTGTAGTCTAATTTTGTTTTAATCTGATTTGTATATGCGTGGTAAAAACAAGAATAAATCAATTCTGGTCTTTGATCCTGACATAGACATAACTTTGAGAAGATTGAGAAAAGAGTCTAGAGCAGAAAAAGCCATAGGGAGTGATAGTGAATTAGAAGCTGTCCATTTTCTAGAATTTTAGAGTAATCCTAGAGTGAAAAGAACACCTACACCTTTGAGACAACCAAATCCAGCAATAGAAATGACAGAGCAAAACAGAATTAGAACATTAGGGGACTATGCTATTCCTAACATGCAAGGTTTTAACTCTTCTATAATTAGGCCAACTATTCAAGCCAACCATTTTGAGATTAAACCTGCCCTACTACATTTAGTCTAACAAGATCAGTTTTCTGGTGGAAATTCTGATGATCTTAACCTCCATATTTCAAATTTTCTGCAGCTATGTGACACCATAAGAGTGAATGGAGTTAGTGAAGAAGCTATCAGATTGAGGCTATTTCTTTTTTCCTTGAGAGATAGAGCAAAATGCTGGCTACAAGCTCAACCACAAGGAAGCATCACAACCTGGACAGAACTTGTGAATAAGTTTCTAACTAAGTACTTCCCTCCATCCAAAGCTGCTAAGTTGAGAGGAGAAATTACATCCTTTGTGCAACAAGAAGGAGAATCATTGTATGAAGCTTGGAAAAGATACAAAGAATTACTTAGAAGGTGCCCACATCATTGTATCCCAGATTGGATGCAATTGGAAACTTTTTATAATGGGATGAATGCAGCAACAAGAACAATGGTTGATGCTGTTGCTGGAGGTTCATTAAATACAAAGTCCTTGGAAGAAGCTCAGAGAATTATTAAGATGATGACATCTTCAATGTATCAGAATTCAAACTCAAGAAATCAAGGAAGAAACTTTGGTCATGAAGCTAAGGTTCTGAAAACTTTTCTTACACAGAATCAGCTACAAAATCAAATATTTTCAGAACAATTAGCTGCCTTAACACAACAAATCAGCAATCTGCAAACATGGAGTATGCCTACCAGGCAGCTAAGTTGTGATTTTTGTGGAGGAAACCATATAAATGGTGCATGCGAGACATCTACAAGTGAACCACAAGAGCAAGTGAATTATATGAATAATTTTCAGAGACAACAACCATCATATCCCCCTGGATTTCAATTTTCAAATAATAGAACTCAGCAGTATTCTAATTGGAATAATCAATATTCTGCTGCAAAGAATTCTAACTCAAATTTGCCTTTTTCTAATGCAGAACCAGCAACACAACAGCCTTATTTTTAGAGGAATTCATCCACTCAACCTCAAGGAAATTAGAAATTTTCCAAGCCTATGAATGAGAGGTTGACTGAGATGGAAGAAACTAAGCTGCAATTCATGAAGGTGACTCAAACAAGTTTCAAGAACCAAGAAGCTTCTATGAAGAAACTAGAAACACAAATCAGACAATTAGCTGAACAAATATCCAGTAGGGATGAAGGATGATTTCCAAGCAATACAGTAATCAATCTTAAAGAGCAATGTCAAGCCATAACTACAAGGAGTGGAGCTGTAATTGCAAGTCCTAAACCAGCAGAAAAGAAAGTAAATGATGCAGCAGAGAGAAAAATTGAACAAGATCTGCAACAAGAAAATTTTAAGCTATTGAAAAAAGACCATTCAGAAAAAGTAGATGTTCCTATGAATTCTGAGAGGAAAACCAAAAAGCAACTCTTTGAGGAAGCTTGTAAGCTAATAGATCCAGAAAAATATAAGAGGCTGCCTTATCCTCAAAGAGTCCAAAATCCTAAACAAGAGGAACAATTTGAAAGGTTTATGAATGTCTTTAAGAAATTACATATTAACATTCCTTTTGTAGAAGCTTTGGAGCAAATGCCTTCATATGCAAAGTTTATGAAAGAACTAGTTTTCAGAAAAAGGAAGCTAGAGCATGATAAAACAGTACCTTTGACAGAGGAGTGCAGTGCCATTCTCAAGAGAAAGCTTTTTCAAAAGCTGAAAGATCCTGGATCATTTAGCATTCCGTGTGAAATAGGAAACTGCACTGTAGGAAGAACATTGTGTGACTTGGGAGCAAGCATAAATCTGATGCCATTGGCTGTTCTGCAGAAACTTGGGATAGAGGAAGTGAAGCCCACCAACATTACACTGCAGCTAGCTAATAAATCATACACTTATCCATATGGAGTTGTTGAAGATTTATTAGTTAAAGTTGATAAGTTCATTTTTCCTGCAGATTTTGTAATTCTGGACATGGAAGTGGATTCCAACATTCCTTTGATACTAGGAAGGCTATTTCTTGCAACCGGAAGAGCCTTAATAGATGTGCAGAAAGGTGAACTTATGCTTCGAGTTTAAGATGAGAAGGTAGTGTTTAATATGTTTGAAGCTTTAAAATATCCAATTGAAGATAGTACATGTATGAAGGTAGATATACTGGATGCTTTTATTACACAACGCCACATTAATGAAATTGATGAACTTGCTGTGTTAGAAGAAATAATATCTGCAGGGAATAACAAATCTGAACTTCTGCATGAAGAATACATCATGGAAGTGTAGCAGCAATTAGAAGCTTTGCCAATTCAAAAATCTGCAGAAAATTCAGTGAAGGAGAAGCTAGAAAAGGATGATAAAGAAGAGGAAAAGCAAAAGTTAGAGCTGAAACAACTTCCTTCCCACCTGCGGTATGCATTTCTGGATGAGAAATATGAAAATCCAGTCATCATCAATAATGAACTTAAGGAAGAACAAGAGGAAAAACTGCTGAGAATTTTGAGAGAACACAAATCTGCAATTGGATGGAGTATTGCAGATCTGAAAGGTATAAATCCTTCATTTTGTAAGCACATAATTTTATTTGAAGAGAATTTATGCCTGTTGTGCAGCCACAAAGGAGGTTAAACCCAGCCATGAAAGAGGTAGTTAAAAAGGAGGTCATGAAGCTGTTAGATGCAGGAATAATATACCCTATTTCTGACAGCAATTGGGTAAGTCCAGTCCAAGTTGTTCCAAAGAAAGGTGGTATGACAGTTGTACCTAATGAAAAGAATGAACTTGTCCCTACTAGGACTGTGACTGGATGGAGAATGTGCATAGACTATAGGAAGTTAAATGATGCAACCAGAAAAGACCATTTCCCACTACCATTTGCAGATCAAATGCTAGAAAGACTTGTTGGACATTTATTTTATTGTTTTCTTGATGGGTATTCAGGATATAACCAAATAGCTGTGGATCCTTTAGATTAAGAGAAAACTGCATTTACATGTCCATTTGGAGTCTTTGCATATAGGAGAATGCCATTTGGTTTGTGTAATGCCCCTGCCACTTTCCAAAGATGCATGCTTTCTATTTTTTCTGATTTGGTAGAAAACATCATAGAGGTATTCATAGATGATTTCTCTGTTTTTGGTGATTCTTTTGATGATTGTTTAGCTAATTTGATCAATTAATATTCCATTTTTCTCCAACTTGGAATTAATTTGATTCACATCTTTCATTTGTAATAGAAATATTCACAAATGGAGATTTAGAGTTTTCATTAATCAATTGAAATAGTGTTTCAACACATATATGTATATATATTATCTTTGATCCATTCCTGAAATTTTGATGGAAGGATTCCTTTCCTAACAAAAAGGGAAAAATTGTCAACTCCATTTGTTCGAATAGCTTCCATTGAGTCTCTGCACCTATCCTTTTTCTTATTCTCTCTTTCTAAGCTTTTCTTTGTCTTCGGAAAATAGGATTTGGCTCAGGATTGCCCATTGTGAATTCCAGGGTTTCTCTGAATTTGAAAGTTCTCACTTGGTAAGTTTCCATACCAAGACTCAATCCAATTAAGTTCGTAGCGTCTACCAATTTCGCCATATCCCCTCTTTTCTTTGAGATCGAATCTCATTCGAATTTTTTTTTCATTTATATTATGAAATTCATTTATATTATAAGAATTATGCCGGAACTGTTCAATTCATTAGATACTAATTCTAATATTGAAAAATGTTTCCTCCTATTTGATTGATTTTCTTTCATCTATATTGGATACCCCTATTTAGTATAAAGAGAAAGAGTGAAATTAGTTCTATCTAGGAGAACTTATGAGTGAAATCTAAATACATTAGGCTGCACAAAAAATTATTAAACTTCCATTCAAAGTCCAGAAAAGGTCTTAAAAGATTAAAAAAGGTCCGTTTAGCGCCTCACTGCTATGTCATAATAGATCCGAACACTTGCCACGGATTGACTTCGAGATCAGAATTGTTCTAGTGAATAACTAAAGAAAATGGATTATATGAAAGAAAATATAGAATGGATAGATGGGAAATAGAAGAGAACGAAACTCAATATAAACATCTTTTATAAGTTCA